CATGACAGTGTAAACTGAAAGAAAATGAAACCAGAGCTGGAAAATAAACACCAGCCTCCACCCCAGTTACCAAGCCGTAGAAGTGGAACTCTGCCAGCCGGCGTGAGAGGGACACGGCGGCTGAGGTGTCTTTGGCTGGACAAGTTTCCGCTGGTGAGAGAGCGAAGGCCCTGAGCCACACAGAGCTCTGTGTCAGGGCCAGTTCTCTCTGCGGGGAGGTGTCCCCACAGATGTGTGGGTCAGTGCACAATGGGGCTTTGTGTGGCCTGGCAATCCTCTCTCTCCAGATAGTCCACATGCCTGCAGCAGCCTGGCGTGCAGGAAGAGGGAGAGATGCAAGATCACAAACTGCGTCCCGGCCTGCGTGGCCGAGTCCGAATCCACCTGCCAGGTGCAGGGAGACTGGCGTTACCACACCTTCGACGGGCAGGCTTTCAACCACACGGGCACCTGCTCCTACCTCATTGCCAGGACGTGTGGGCCGGACACCACCCTCCCGCCCTTCAGCATCGAGGTCCAGAACCAGCCCAGCTCAGGCCTTTCCTCTCTCGCCACCGTGACGGTCCGTGTCTACAATGTCACCATCTCGATAGACAGATACTCCAAGGGGCTGATGCAGGTGAGAACTCGCAGGGCTGGCGCCTTAGCTGTGGATTGCCCTGTAGTCCTGTGAATTTCAACCCCTCCTCCACCGCTGTCCCGGCCCAGGGCTGGGCTGGATGCCCCTGGATCCAAAGGGGAGCGTGAATTCCTGGGTGGGCTCTTTCACCCTGCCTGGATTTCCTGGGCCCCGGGGGGAGAAGCACCCCAGGGGAAATCCAGCGTGTCTGGAGATGAGTCTGTCTGGAAGGGGGAGCTGCAGCAGCCAAGCCCCATGGGAGCTGGTGGCCCCAGGGTCCCAGCAGCGTGGAGAGTAAACATTGATTTGTATGCTCACAGATGAATGCCCGGAGCTTCCCCATCGCTGACTTCCCCCACCAGGGGAAACTGAAGGTGTATCAGAGCGGGGGCTCTGTGGTCATCCAGACCGACTTCTCCCTGAGGGTCTCCTACGACTGGGGCAGCTCCCTGGTGGTGAAGCTCTCCAGCAGCTTCTCAGAGAGCGTGTGTGGCCTGTGCGGCAACTACAACGGGGACCCCAGAGATGATTTCACCACCCCGACCGGGGCGCTGGCTGCCAGCCCTGTGGAGTTCGGGAGGAGCTGGAAGGTGGAGGACGGGGACAGGTTCTGCTGGGACGACTGCCATGGGCAGTGCAAGAGCTGTTCCCCGGAGCAGGTCGGCAGGTACAAAGCGGAGCCCTTCTGTGGCTGGATCACCAAAGGGGCGGGCGGCCCCTTCAGCCGATGCCACTCCATGATCGACCCCAAAATCTACCTGGACAACTGTGTCTATGACCTGTGCATGAACGACGGGCGGAAGGAGATGCTGTGCCAGGCGCTGACGAGCTACGCCGATGCAACTGTCTCCGACTGGCGGACGCTGGTGGGGTGCCGTGAGTACATCATGGGAAGGGAGTTGTGTAGGGTGCTCCTGGGGAGGGGTGGGAGGCAGGAGAAACCAGTAGGGGGCATGTTCTACTGGGGGGGTCTATGGGGCCAGAGGCCTTCTGCTCAAGGAAGCCCTATTTCTGGGATATTTCATACTTGATGGATATGATCTGGAGAACGGAGGGTAGGGGACAGTGCAGCCCTGGCCGAGAGGCTGGAGGAGAGGGGGCCTCATGGGGCTCTACCAGCCCCACGTGTGGGGACTGGAGCTCAAGGCAGGTTTGGGAGCTTCGCTGGGTCTCTCTGCTGCAGAGCATCTAGCTGGGCTCCCTCCGCTCTGTGCCAAGCCGGCCAATGCCGGATGCAGCAATATTGCCAGTGACCCCTGTATCCTGTCCCTCTTCCAGCTCTGCCCTGCCCGGAGACCAGCCAGTACCAGCCCTGCGGCTCCGCGTGTCCTGCCACCTGCAATGACCGAGTGGCCCCTAAGAACTGCTCCCTGCCCTGCGTGGAGACCTGCCAGTGCCACGAGGGCTTTGTGCTGGATGCTGGGAGGTGCATCCCCCAGGCCGGCTGCGGGTGCGAGTTCCAGGGGCGGCTCTTCGCCCCCGGGGAGCAGTTCTGGGGGGACAGCACCTGCACCAGGCGCTGCGTGTGCGACCCACGGAGCAGGCAGGCGAGCTGTGAGGCCGCAGGGTGCCGAGCTGCGGAACAGTGCCGGGTGAGGAGCTACGCCAGCTGTACAGCCAGCGGGGACCCCCACTACACCAGCTTTGATGGGCTCAGGTTCGACTTCCAGGGCAGCTGCCAGTACCAACTGGCCGGGCGGTGCCAGGGGCAGGAAGAGCTGGAGGATTTCCAGGTCCTGGTGCAGAACGACAACAGGGGCCTCCAAGCCGTGTCCTTCACCAGAGCTATGGAGGTCCGAGTGTACGGCGTGAACATCACAGTCAGCAGGGACCATCCAGGCAAAGTCCTGGTGAGTTCAGACATTGCCCGCTCACCCTAGTCCGGGCTTCTGCTTTGCGTTGCTTGCGGGTCACTCCCCAATGGTGTCCCATTGTCACCTCCTTTCCTGTCATCACTCCCCGTTGGCCTTCTCTTCTGCCTTCTGCAGGCCTCGTCAGTGGAGCTGGGGGGACAACAGGGGGCAGCTGAGATTCTGCAGGGAAAATTTCAAAGTTTTGGCAAAAAAAAATCTAAGTCTGAAACTCTGCCCCCAACCTGAAACATGCCCATTCTGAAATGCCATGGCTGTGCCGCATGGTGTTTGGGCGCCTCCTGCGTCTGGGGCTCAGGGCAGACTACATCTCCCATGATGCAGCAGGGGTTCCTCCCTAGGTGGAGAAGGGCAGTACATCATGGCAGGTACATCGCTACAGGGCATCATGGGAAATGGAGGCCAGCTTGGGGGCACAGCACATAAAGGAAAATGGCTATCCAAACGACGACTCCCATGAAGCAGAGCAGGGGCATTTCATAATGAAAATATTTCAGTTTTTGGACAAATATTGACTTTTTCAACCAAAAAATAATCGGGGCGTGGGGGGGTTAGAAATTCAGTTTTGCCACAAAAAGGAATCCCTTTTTTTTTGGTGGCTGCAACAGTTTACAAAAAATGTCAATCAATTTTCCATCAAAAATAGTTATGACAGGAAAGTTTTGATCAGCATTGGTCACTGTGCCCTTAGGTCAAAATAAGCTATGCAATTTGAGCTATGTAAATCGTGTAACTTGTTTCGAGTTAATTTCAAAATAGCTTATTTAATAATTTCGAAATAAACTGCTATTCCGAAATATTCCTTAATCCTCATGGAATGTGTTCCACAGGGACGTCAGAATAGCGAGACCATTACATTTTGAAATAATGGGCTTGCTTAAAAGACACGGAATAGCTATTTGGCAGTACCATGAAATAGCATCACTGTCTAGATGTACCCGTAGGGTATGTCTACACTACCCCCCTAGTTCGAACTAGCGGGGTAATGTATGCATACCGAACTTGCTAATGAAGCCCGGGATTTGAATTTCCCGGGCTTCATTAGCATAAAGCCGGCGCCGCCATTTTTAAAAGCCGGCTAGTGCGAACCCCGTGCTGCGCGGCTACACGCGGCACGGACTAAATAGTTCGGATTAAGCTTCCTAATCCAAACTATCCGAACCCCGTGCCGCGTGTAGCCGCGCGGCACGGGGTTCGCACTAGCCGGCTTTTAAAAATGGCGGCGCCGGCTTTATGCTAATGAAGCCCGGGAAATTCAAATCCCGGGCTTCATTAGCAAGTTCGGTATGCATACATTACCCCGCTAGTTCGAACTAGGGGGGTAGTGTAGACATACCCTTAGAGATTTCAAAGACAGAAAGGACCATTGTGGTAATGTAGGCTTAGCTCCTCTACAACACAGCCCAGAAAACTGCCCAAAAAGTTTTCCTGACAAGTCTCTTCCAACTGCCAAACCCTTATTCGAAGTCAGAGATTTTCACAATTCTCTTACATTTACTGTAAGAGTCAAAAATGTCTCACGGATGGTGAGGAAAGTTTCTAGGTTTCTTTGCTTTAGCTTGCACCAACATTCTCAATGTTTTCTTCATGTTTGGTCCTTGTTGTCCTGGAAGGTTGTGGGGTTTCCACGTGGTGTTTGCTGTTGCTGATTTGCACAAGGCAGGATTTACTCAAAACACGAGGGGAGAGGAGGAGGGGAAACCAACAGATCCCACTGAACAGTCCAAATTCAGCCAGTGTTAAAAATCGAAAGGCATAAAAATGCCTCCAGTGATCATTTCCCGCCCCACCCTCCAATTTTATTCCTTTAACCAGCCAGAATGACATCAGCATCTCATCGCAGGTATTGCAGATGTTTTCTCTTCTCCAGACTAAACAAGCCCATTTTTTTCAATCTTCCTTCATAGCTCAGGTTTTCTGCACCTTTAATTGTTTTTGTTGCTTTTTTTCTGGACTTTCCCCAGTTGCTCTCCAGCCTTCAAGCATGGTTTGATTTTATGAGCCTTGAGCATTTCAGTGCATATTGTGTGAAGTCAAGGCAGTGATTCTGCGCATCTGTTAAACATGCCCCACTCCAGGGGTGGCTGCATTCAGTGCTGGGTGGGTGATCCCCAGGCAGTGTTTCTGCATGGCTGTTAAATATGCCCCACCCCACAGGTGGCTGCACAGAATAAAGTCACTCTATCACTCTCACTGGTCCCTTGCCCATTGCTCACAGATGAATGGTGTACTCCTCAACCTGCCGTACAGCACGGACGATGGCAGAATCTCCATGTACCGGAGAGGCCAGGAGGCAACGATCTGGACCGACTTCCATCTCACTGCCGCCTTCGACTGGCAGAGCCGGGTCACCCTCACTGCCCCCAGCACCTACGCCGGTGCCCTGTGTGGGCTCTGTGGGAACTTCAATGGTGACCGGCGAGATGAGCAGACCATGAGGGACGGCAGGGTGGCCCCGAATGCAACAGCCTTCGGGCAGAGCTGGCGGGTGGCCGAGACGCTGGGCTGCGTCGAACCTGAGAAGCCAGAGTGCTCCAACCTAGCTGCTGTCCAGAGACACCAGCGGCGAATCCGCACAGAGTGTGGGATGATCCTGGACACGGCCGGGCCCTTCCGAGATTGCCACCACAAAGTGCCTCCTGAGGATTATTTCCAAGACTGCATCTATGACTATTGCTTCTTCAAGGGGCAGCAGGCCATTGTGTGCCAGACCCTCACCAGCTACGCCGCGGCCTGCCAGGCTGCTGGGGTGATGACAGAGCCCTGGAGAACTGACAGCTTCTGCGGTAACTTGGGCTCTTCTTCGGGGACAAACACTAATGGGGGGCGGAGAGAAAACCTGACACCAAGGCTCCTTAAAGCAGCCTCTAGCTGAGGCCTAGAGGATGCTGGGCTGTAGCCACAGCACTGACAGGGGAGAGCCAAGGGTTGAGAATCAGGACTGCTGGTTCCATCACCAGCCGCTGAAGGGGAGCAGGCTCAAAGAATCGTAGGACGGAAGGGACCCCGAGAGGTCATCTAGCCCATCCCCTGCCTTCATGGCAGGACTTAGGATTATCTCAAACTGGGCAGGGACCCCAAAGTGGGTTGTGACCTTGGCATCATGGGGCTGGCTTACATTTGCTGGGGCCTGCGGCCAAAGTTGACACCAGAGCCCCAGGCCTGGGGCTGAAGCCCTGGGCAGCAGGGACCAGTGACAGGTCCCTTCCCTGGGGCTGATGCCTTTGGGCTTCCGTTATCACCTCTCCTGCTCAGGGCTCAGGCTTTAGCCCCTCCCCACCCCGGGCCGGCAGGGCTCAAGGGGGCTTAGGGCTCAGATCCCCCTCCTGGGTCAGGCAGTGATTTTTCTTGTCAGAAGGGGGTTGCGCTGCAGATGGAGGACCCCTGATCTAGATCATCTCTGACAGGTGTCTATCTACTCTACTCTTAAAAATCTCCAGTGGCAGAGATTCCACAGCCCCTGGGCAATTTATTCCAGTGCTTAACCAGCCTGACAGGACGTTTTCCTAAACCTCCCTTGCTGCAGTTTAAGCCCATTGCTTCTTCTCCTGGCCTCAGAAGTTAAGAACAATTTTTCTCCCACTTCCATGGAACAACCTTTTAAATACCGTTATCCTGGCCTCTCTCCGTCTTGTCTGTTTTTCAGTCTTCCCTCATGGCTCATATTTTCTAGACCTTTGATCATTTTTGTTGCTCTTCTCTGGACTTTCCCCCATTTGTTCACATCTTTCCTGAAGTGTGGTGCTCAGTTCTGGACACAATACTCCAGCTGAGGTCTAATCAGCGCAGAGTAGAGCAGAATTCCTTTTCGGGTCTTGTTTACAACTCGCCTGCTAATACATCCAAGAATGGAGTTTGTGTTTTATTATAGCAGTGTGACACTGTTTGCTTATATAGGAACAATGTGAAATCCTGTGGCACCTTATAGACGAACAGATTTATTGGAGCATAAGATTTTGTGGGCAAAGACCCACTTCATCAGATGCTTGTTGACTTATCTGTAGCTTGTGATTCACCATGATGACTCTCAGATACCTTTCTGTAGCACTTTCCCCTATGTCATTTCTCTTTTGTGTGTGTGCAGTTGGTTGTTCCTTACCAAATGGAGTACTTTGCATTTGTCCTAATTGCATTGTATCGAATTTACTGTAGACCATTTCTCCACTTTATTCAGATCATTTTGAGTTTTAATTCTATCCTCCAAAGTGCTTGCAACCCCTCCCAGCATGGTACCTCCTGCAAACTTTGTAACTGTATTCAATGCCATTGTCTAAATCAGTGGTGCCCAACCCAAGGGGGTCGTGGCTGTCTTCCTGAGGGGTCGCAATGCGGGGCTGGCCACCATTTTTTTGTTTGTTTGTTTGTTTGGGTTTTTTTGCTCAACCAACATTTTCACGGACCCGAATGAATAAAGGTTAAGCATCACTGGTCTAAATTATTGATGACGATATTGAAGAGAGCAGAACTCAGAACTGATCCCTGAAGGTTACCACTCAAAATGTCCTTCCAGTTTGACACTGATAACTACTCTCTGGGAACAGTTATCCAACCAGTTCTGCACCCGCTTTATAGTAGCTCCATCTAGTTGCATTTCCCGAGTTTGTTTATGTGATGATCATAGGAGACAGTATCACAAGACTTGCTAATGTTGATAGATCACATCGATCACTTCTTCTAATGCTAATTTTGAAATAGTTGTTTCAAACTAATGTTGGTGCAGATGCTTTGGTGCCACTATTTTGAAGTAACCACTCCCCGGAGTAATACAACCTAATTATTTCCCAGTGATTCCTGGGGCTCTAAATCCAAATAAGCATCCACATTAATGGAGCCTGCCTCAGACTAATTTTGAGGCTTCCCGGTAGTGGGAACATGCTATTTTGATTTTTTAAAATTGGGAGTTATTAAGTCAAATTTAGTTATCTCAAAATAATTTCCTAGTGTAGACATGCCCTTCCAGACCTCTGGAATCTCTCCTGTCTTCCATGGCTTTTCAAAGATAATCACTAATGGCTCACATATCTCCTCTGTCAGCTTTTTGAGCATTTTAGGATGTATTTCATCAGGCCCTGGTGACTTGAAAACATCTAACATGTCTAGGTAATTTTTAATTTGTTCTTTCCTAGTTTTAGCCTCCGATTTGCAGCATTTTCACTGGCATTCGCTATCTTAGTCATCCAGTTGCTACCAACCTTTCTGGTGAAAACACAAACAAAAAAGTCATTTACACTTTTGCCAGTTCCACATTTTCAGTTATTACTCT